GAACCTGTGCAAGCACGGCTTTTAATGGTAGGCCTATGTTTTTTGTTTGTTGTTGTCTCATACTTTTAGATACGCTGTTGTAAATGCTACTTGTTATGTTAACTTTTAATATACGGTTTTATCCTGATTAAAGCTTTAATATAGACTGCACGCGCGTCCATGTTTAATGCTTCTCATAGCTATGTGAAAATAAGTGTATAATTGGAACAGTTTATTGTCGGAGCTGAGCTGAATGAGAGAGAGAGAGAGAGAGCAGAGCTTGTGCAGAGCAGGGGGACGCGAGGAACAGGATTGAGAACCGCTGCTTTTGAACATTGATTTTGAAACCTGTGAATCCATTAGAAGTCTGTTTGTCCCTTAGTTAATCCGTTAGAAGACAGAATCGCGCTTCATATATGAACAGATTTTTACGTGCACCTCTAGTTTTCTCTTCCTCTTCTCTTTTATCTGGGTTTGTGATGTCACGAACCCGGGAAGTAACTCGTTGTAGTCCCTACCAGCCGTTTTTGTAGGCATTAAACTGCCAGAATTTTAAAAGACGATATCTCCATTTGCATTGTACTTTCAGCTTTGTAACTTTGCAGATATTGTTTATGCTCAAACAGCAACATTACACACTAACTAACATTAAAAAAGTGAAATCGCAATGAACCACCCCTTTAAAGACATTAAAGTGAATTCAACAAGTATAGTAAAAAAAAATTTGTCATGACTAACAAAAACTACCTGAAGTCGTGTCTTTAACAGGTCTATTGGTGCTGTCACAGTTCTAGACACAGCATCTGCCAATCCTGCGGCCAATATAAAGTTCCCCCAGATAGACAGGTCAGTCTCCTGCTGGGTTAACTCAACAGGCATAGAGCGACTCTCTCCTACATCAAACACCTAAAAAGACAACCTCCTTTTATAAACCCGGTTATGAACATTGCATATTAAATGTATATGTGCAAAATAGTAATAGTTTCACTAAAAATGACAATTTCATCTTTTACTCATGTCACACTTATGTACAACTTTTCTGCAGAACACAATGATTTTTAGATTGAAATCTCCACGCAAAGTCTGCATACAAAGTTTGAAGCTCCAAAAAGCACATAAAGGCATGTATAAACAATTCATATGGCTCCAGTGGTTTAATTAGTGTATGCCGAGGCGATTTAATCTCTTTTGAGGGAACACACCTAAATGTCACTCATGAAGCAGAAATATTTTGTTTGTGTTCTGCAGAACAAATAAAGTCTTACACATCAGGGATGACACTGGGGCTGAGTAAATATTGAGAGAATTTTCCTTTTATGTGAAGTATGTCTTTACATGTATTTTTTAAGTATTTAAAAGCTGGTTTTTACCAGGTTATGTTTCCAGGAAGATATCAACTCTCCAATGTTTTCTGCTGGGTTAATGATGACGTGCTGGAGGAATTCCTCCCAGTCTACCGTCATAGAGTTGTCTTCATCCATCCTAATGACAATCAGAATTTAACATTAATAATCGAGCTGATTAATAACATAATCAATACAAATACGCATGCATGTCATACATTTAACTTAACCCAATTAATCCCAAATTTTTCCTAGACATGAAAATATCCAAATGATGTGTCATTAGTAACCCTTTGAAATAATCAATATTAATATTGTATTTCTAAAAAATTGACCCTAAGGGTAACATATATAATGAAAATAAAGTCGGACTGAGAATTGATCCCCGAGGAACCCCCCAAGTGTTAGTCGCAGATGTCAAAACATAATTTCCAATTTTAACTGAGCATGTCCTGTCATGCAGATAAGAGGAAAACCACTTAACCCGTTTAATCCCAAATTTTTCCCAGACATGGAAATATCCAAATGATGTGTCATTAGTAATCCTTTGAAATAATCAATAATTTTTTTTTTTTTTTTTTTTGGAAAAGTGTGTGAAAAATTGTTTTATGGTCGGTCACAATTGTGACCGGTGGGATAATGTGTGTAATGAATTAACATATTTCTGCACTCATAAAAATTGTTATATATCTTAGCCCAACTTGACTCTTCTGTAGTTACATCGTGTACGAAGACCGACGGAAAATGAAAAGTTGCGATTTTCTAGGCCGATATGGCTAGGAACTATACTCTCATTCTGGCGTAACAATCAAGGAACTAGAAAATCGCAACTTTTCATTTTCCGTTGGTCTTAGTCATTTTTCATTTTTGAGCAAGATGCTAATGGTCTAATCAGATTCTATGATCTATGCTAAGCTTCAGCTAAAAGTGCTACCGCCAGACCCGGAGATCGGCTGAATGGATTCGAAAACGGTAAAACTCAACTGTTTAACTTTAGGGGAGTTGGAAAATTAGCCTATTTTCAAAATTAGTGGAGTGTTCCATTAAACAGCATTGATAGGAATACTGAGATAAAACACAAAAAAATACAACCATCAACGTATTTCAAAATTGTTACTTTTTTGTAACATATATCACCAAATTTTTATATTAGTGCTACCAGTATTACAACATTAATATTGTAACTTATTTGTAACATTTGAACGTTTAATTTAGTGCAATAGTTTGTCACTAACAACTGCTATTGGATTTATATTGTAAACCTAAGTTCACTGTTATCCCACCGGTCACTATTGTGACCATCAAGATGTTTACTCATTCTATGACCACACTCAACAAAACTGACTATATGTGAATTCATGTATTAATACTAGAAACCTCAAAGATAATGTGTACCAAAAATCTTTGTCAAATCTTTATGTTAACATTCTTTACTAGCCTTTTGTTTTGGAGCTTTGATGCAGCCATCACCTTCTCATGGCGCAAACAGGAAATTAAACTGCTTTGGTCATATGACAATTTGCACTAACCATGTGAAACTGCACATATTTAATTGAGACCCTTTATTTTTTCCATATTTGCAGGAAGTGCACTAAAACATCAGTCAATAAGGTTTTTAGAGCTTTATAAATGAAAACCTTTTTCACGGTCACGGTGGGATTAAATGGGTTTTAAACTGTGTCAGAAAACAAAGTCTCTTTGAGATTTACATAAACCTGTAGGCTATATGTCAAAGTATCTGCTTCATCTTACACACATGGAGTGATCTTGATGTTTGTGACTTGGTAAAATATTGCAAATGTGAAGGCAACACCATGAGGCCTCTTACATTTGAATGATCCGCTTTGCGTTGGGTTTTGATATGACCAAACCTAATTCCTTAAACAGAGACATTATATCCTCCAGGTCAATGGACCCTAAAAAAGATGAGATTATACAAATAAAGTTTTTCCACTTTCTTGTTACTTTGTTTTGTGCACCTAGAGCACATTTTACACTTCTAAACAAAGACCAGATATAAAACATAAAGCTGTTTCAAACAGAAAATATGTATATTTGTCACAGACAGCTTACCACATTTATTTCTGTCAAGGGCATGGAAATCTATTTTCCATTTCTTCTCTTTGTCCATCATGTAAATAAGAAATTCCTGATAGCTTAGACGTCCATCCTCATTTTGGTCATAACTGGACATGATAGCCTAAACGAAAGAATTGCATTTACTGACAATAATGTAATCCAGATACATATGAATACTTTTGGCTACATCTCTACAAATGTATCAGTATGTAATTCCACACAAAGAAGTCTTACTTGAACCTTTTCACAAACTGGTTCCACGCCTATCCGTCGCATTTCACTCTGCAGCTCCTCTGTAGATATAAACCCGTCTTTATTCTTGTCGAGTTTATCAAATAAGCCGCGGAAGTGATCCATGGTTAATACTGTTATCCAATGTAAAATAAAAATGGTAGTATTTAAATGATACGTCAATAGTTTTAAGTAAGTCTATTAGTTTAATTTGTGGTGAATTACTGTATGTTCACCTTATTTATTCTGATAATGCTGAGTCACATCTCTCGCCAGAGAATGGAGTACTGCGGTGGTCTTGAATACCAGCATCTCACAGGGAAAATTCATGCTATACCGATGCTAACCAGCAGATGGAACTGTGGTGTTATTATATGGATAAGCAGTGTAGTCAAAATTGTCAAGTCAAGTCAATATTGTTTACAGACCAAATATGGTTATTTCTGGTTATTTCCTTTATGTTGTATTAGACTCGTTATCTAATATTTTTTCAAAGATTGCTTCAAGTATGGTCTCAGTGAGGAGAAGGTTGGGAAGGGGAGGAAACTGGATCTGCCACCTGCCAGTGAAAGATTGAACTACTATTCTTAGAGTGGTGCCTTTTATTATCTCATATTTAACATCTATTTTCAGAAAATGACGTATAATAGCCTGCATCCATAGCAACTTTGATTATAGCTACAACACAATTGTAGCATTACAGTTTTAGAGTAGGTAAAGCTATATGCTAGCCTATGGGGTCTGACTTTTAGGCCTATTTATTATTATTATTATTGTTTTGTTTTATTACTATTGTTTTAGTCTAAAGGGTTAGAGTGATCTGAAGGACAGATGGGGTTAAATTGACCGGATGGCAGACAATATAATACTATATATGAAGCACAGCCTAGAGAAAAACAGAAAGATCATTAAAGGCTACTGCAGCTAATGAAGCAGCATAAGCTAATTTTGGAATGAAATGTTACCTATGACCTACAGTAAGCATACTGATGATTCATTGTTGAAATATATATCAGGCTTTCTTTAATCGACATACAATGAAAGACAGAGTCAGGTAACAGACATAGATAGATAGCCTAGATAGATAGATAGCCTAGATACCCTGTTGAAAAAACCAGCATATGCTGTTTTTTTCAACAGGGAGATAGATAGTAGATAGATAGATAGATAGATAGATAGATTATGTTGATTATATTTGATTTATGTTGTTTATTTCATGTTTTTTTTTTAAGTATGTTTCCTTGGTGGTGTTTTGTGTTTGTTTAATACTGTGCTCTGTCTATTATTAGCCAGTGTTCATGGAAAGTTCAACTTTGATGAACTACATCAAAAGATTAAGTCATCAGATGTTTTTTTTTTTTCATTTTACCACGTGTATTATTATGATGTTGTGTGAATATATTTTAAGGCACAAATCAGATTTTAGTGGTTCAAGGTTAGTATAATAACACTGTTATGTGTAGACACATAATCTACTGAAATGTACATTATGAACTGTAAAATATACAGCCACTAAAATGCCATCCCATAATCCTCATGACAGACAGACAGACAGACAATAGAAAAGCTTCACAACACAAAATTTTCTCGGAGACACATCGTTACTCGTGCTCGAGTGAACTTAGATTGATCTGAAATGGGAAATGACGTGCCTCAGCTACGTTCTAGAAAGTACACTGATTCCAGAGCTGCACTGGTACAGGGGAGGGAGCAATGGCTATTTAAAGAGGGTAAAATAACACAAGATCTTTAGTGCTGAGTAACCGCCTCCAAACAGACACAACAGGATCAACTGATCATCCGTATCACGGTTTAAAGTGGCAGGTTTTGACACCGTAGTCACGACGGTGCATTGATTCACTGTCTTTTTCGAGAGACTGACGAATCCTTGGGAAGCGGGTCTGCATAGGAGAAAATGGGCAAAGATTATTACAAAATATTGGGAATCGCAAAAGGAGCATCAGACGACGACATCAAAAAGGCGTACAGAAAACAGGCTCTGAAATGGCATCCTGACAAAAACAAGACGGCCAATGCGGAGGAGAAATTCAAGGAGGTCGCGGAGGCTTATGAAGTTCTTAGTGATCCAAAGCAAAGGGAAATATATGACCAGTACGGCGAAGAAGGTAGACTTGCTTCATCTCTGTAATATCCGTAATAACAGCGAAAATATGAATGCGTAATCCTTCTGTCTGCTAATCTCTTAAATGTATCGGATGTAAATGTAATGAAAACGAATTCTCAGAACATTTACCGAACAGTATGCTATACAAAGTTGACCATAAGGAGTCATGGTTTATTGTCCTTTTCAGTGCTCAACCAACATTCTTTCAAATCGGGAAAAGACTATATGTGTTGTATTTAAGCGTCGAAATTGCAGAAAATATGAATGCGTAATCCTTCTGTCTGCTAATCTCTTAAATGTATCGGATGTAAATGTAATGAAAACGAATTCTCAGAACATTTACCGAACAGTATGCTATACAAAGTTGACCATAAGGAGTCATGGTTTATTGTCCTTTTCAGTGCTCAACCAACATTCTTTAAAATCGGGAAAAGACTGTATATGTTCTGTATTTAAGCGTCGAAATTGCATGTCACCGCTGTTGTAATTATAGGCTCTGGTTTGACGTGCACATGATTTATGTGTGTTTATTTATTAAAAGTAGCCTACTGCAGTGGGATGCATAGTAGGCTAATTAAAGCCTTTAACATCATGGGCCCTGGGGCCTAAATCTTCCTCAGTTTTTTTTCCAGAGATTAAACGTGTGTTCTGTAAAATCTGTGCATTTTAGGCCTTAAAGGAGGTGGAGGGGCGACCGACGGGCCAGGAGGCAACTTCACCTACACCTTCCATGGAGATCCTCACGCGACGTTTGCCACGTTTTTCGGGGGAGCCAATCCTTTCGAGATGTTTTTTGGCAGGAAAGTCAATGGACGAGATGACGACGACATGGAGGTGGACGGAAATGACCCCTTTGGTTCTTTCACGAGTTTTAACATAAATGGATTTCCACGCGAGCGGCACGTTGGTCAGGGCGGCCCGCCGCGCAGGAAACAGGACCCCGCGATCCACCACGAGCTCCGGGTGTCTCTAGAGGAGGTCTTTCACGGATGCACCAAGCGCATGAAAATCTCACGCAAGCGCTTGAATCCAGACGGTCGGACTTTGAGAAACGAGGACAAAATCCTCACTATTGAGATCAAGCGCGGGTGGAAAGAGGGAACCAAAATCACGTTTCCACGCGAGGGTGACGAATCGCCTAATACTATTCCTGCCGATATTGTGTTTGTCATTAAAGACAAGCCCCACGCCCACTTTCGCCGAGAGGGGTCTGATATCGTGTACCCGGTCCGGATCAGTTTGCGCCAGGTGAGAGAAGCCACTTACAAATTAATTTGTTCATCCATCCATCCATCCATCCATCCATCTATCCATCCATCTCTATCTGTGACTGTCTGTCTGTATGTTTATTCATCTGACTCTAAATGTCTATCCCTCTTTCCATCTATCCGACTCTAAAAGACAATATATAGATAATATAGATTTTCACCTTAATTATTCAGGGTTTTTTTTTTTACTTCCAAAAGCATTTTTTACAGCATGTTACAATAAAAGTACATGGAATATAATTTTCAACCATATATGGTAAGTTAAATCACAGCAGGGCTCTAAATCTATCTATCTGTCCATTCATTCATCCATCTGACTGAAAAATGTTGCCTTGTTTAACATAATATAGATTTTCACCTTGAAAATTATATGGTAATTCATTACTTTTACTTCCAATAAATATAATTTAAACAGTAATTATGGTCAAATTAGGCCTACAGGTATTATACGGATACCTGTTATTTATCCCATTAAATGCAAGCAAATTGTCCACAATTTATGGTAGGTTAAATTACAGTATGTAAGAAGTACAGTTTAGCATGTTAAATTGCCAATTAACATGATTTTACTGTAGCATTTTGTGTCAATTTAAAAATCTAAACACTTTTACAGTCTATAGACCTATCTATATGTCCAGGTTTGTATAAGGCAAGGTTTTGTACATTTGCCTAGCTAGAAATGTCAAATTCTTTGTGTGAAATCTCGTCTCTTACATAATGCAGTTTGGACAGGAAGGAATATGAGCTCAATCAGCTGTTGTGAGATGCCAGAAAAGGAGCTCGCCCACTTAAACCGTTACAGGCCCATCAAGATGTACATTTATGGCAGAATCATTGATAGACAGTGCTGTGTCTGTAAATGTCATGAGTTTTCAGGCTGTTGGATGGGATATATATGCGACAAAAGGGAAAAAGTTGGATGCATTTTTGCACACAATATCTGCAGTATAGCCGAATGAATTGGAATTATAGTAGGTATTTGCCCAGGTTACTGTCATAATGTGAAAGTTTCATACTGTTCCCAGCTTCATGTCCTGATGCTTGTCATTTTAAGAAGAAAGTGTAAAGAACATACTGTGAATCAAGATCGATGAATAAGATGAAAAATAAAATTAAATGAACGCGTATCTAAAAGCAGGTTCAATTCAGTTACAGAGTTACTGTATCAGAGTTGAAATTGTCTCGCACCAGACATCCATTAAAACAGTCAATCATTTTTTATAAAGGGATGACAATGTACAATTTAGATATTTATATAGTAGTTATGCAGAACAGTTAAAAATACTAGCAATACTGCTTTTATGTGTTCTTTGTCTTATAGCATATTTAAAGTTAAGAGAATATTATTTAGAATATTATTGTAAAGTGTTACCAATATTTCTTATCCTACTAACGATTGTTTTGTTTTTTTCTTTGCTCATAGTCATTGTGTGGCTGCTCTGTCACCGTGTCGACGATAGATGGTAAAACGTGCAATATGAAGATAACTGATGTTATCAAACCTGGCATGAGGAAGATCATTGCTGGACAAGGACTGCCCTTCCCAAAGAACCCAGAACAAAGAGGGGACCTTATTGTGGAGTTTGATGTGAACTTTCCTGACAGTCTGCCGTCTAATGCCAAGGATGTCCTGAAACGACACTTACCGGTCTCATAAAGTGAGCTTGGACATGCTTTAGTGACATTTCTACATGAACAATGCAGTCCCCTTCATAGGTGGACTAATATGACAAATCAAATTTTGAGAATGTGCAATTTCAATTTTTTATCTAAATGTTTGTTAAATATATATGCATTTGTTATATATCTGATACATATATATGAATTATGTTGCATGCTTGTGAATGTCAGTGACAGTGCCAACTTAAAGTGCAATCTGTGTCCAGTTAGTTATTTTTATGCTTCTTTTGGACCCACTTTATATTAAGTGGCCTTAACAACTATGTACTTACATTTAAATTAATCATTTGGTACAATGCACTTATTGTGTACATACATGTTTTTACATTGTACTTATATTTTAAAAATAGCTGCATGTAATTACATCTGTAATTAACTTAACTGTTGACCCATCCCTTACACCTTAACCCACCCTTAAACCTAGCCATACCACCAAACCTGTCCCTAACCTTACCCATATCCCACCTCAATAGCAGCAAATGTGTTTTGCAATACAATATGAACACAATAAGTACATTGTACTTATTTTTTGATGTAAGTACATAGTAGTTAAGGCCACTTAATATAAAGTGGGACCCTTCTTTTGAATTGTGCAGTATTGAAATAAGTGTTTTACAGACTAAATGATACAGATCTATTTGTTTGCCTTTTACAAGTAGATCCCATCTGTACTGACAGATCATGTACTGTTATTCTTTCTAAATGCACAATATGATATAATTTTAGTAAATGATGATGGCTTGGAGTGAACTGTGATGGTGCCATGGATACGTGCCTTCAGCATTTAGCAGGACTCTACTAATGCCTTTTCAGATCTGATTCGTCAGATCCTTTTAAATGTGAGCAACGGACTCACATAACGTAACTGTCTTCGACAGAGACCAAAAATTTGGTTACTTGTGCTGTGGGTTCATATCATATGTTTATTCATGGAAAGTTAGGAGAGCGTTTGCATTATTAGAATGACTTTATCTTACATTGACTACTAGTGCATTGTGTTGAAAGTGTATGGTTAAATCGTTATGATACAATTTAATAAAATTGTACAACTACTGTACACGTGATTCATTTAAATATCCGCCAGAGGACGCCACATGTTCAAAATCAGACTACATGAGGGAAATAAGGTCCAAAATAGTCAGCAACCTTTGCTACATCAGAATTAGTCATCGTAGCAGTGATGGATATGATTTCTGAAAGCAGAAACGAGATTTTAAATCTCAGTGAAAACAATGATGGCAAACAAGACTAAATGATTAAAAGAGAATGGCACGAAGATGTAAAAAATGATTTACACACTACTGAGCGAAATAGATTAGGCCTATTAGAAATTCAAAATGAGTATCGGTTATCTAGCTATAGTTTCTACACTCCTGTAACTGTTACGTAATCTGACTTTTGAGAGGAAACTATCTTTAGTACTATTTATGGTATAATAATCGTTATTGGTAGGCGTGTGTTTATCTTCATCTGCTTTCACCGGTTGGAGTTTAAACAAAATTTAATTGACACCTGAGCCAGGTAAATGAGTTTCTGGATGACGTCACGGCGTCCTGTAGCGCGCTTGCGTTCGGCCATAGAGTTGTTCATTGTCCTGAGCCTCAACGGCAAGAGAGTTTACAGTAGAGCCGCACACCGTCTATTTCTAATCTATTATCCGTTGAATACTACCGTTTTTAAACCCTGGCTCGGTTTCGAAGAGTGGGAACAAAAAGGACACATTCAACAGGTTGATTTGCGTCCTTCAATGCTTTAGCTGTCCGGTTCCCGCGGTCTTCATTTCCCCCACGGATTTACAGGAGGCGCGAACATGCCTTTGGGACTCAGGAAAAAGAAAAACAAGTCGAAGGAAAGCTCGAACTTAGTGGAAAACGAGGAGGTCAGCGGACACGCAGGTGTTGGGAAGTCCGCGGTGAACGGTGGCGGTCTGCCTGCTCCACCGGCCAACATGCGACCGAAACTGGTGTTTCACACGCAGCTCGCACACGGGAGTCCCACGGGCCGGATCGAGGGCTTCACGAACGTCAAAGAGCTGTACGGCAAAATAGCAGAAGCGTTTAATTTACACCCGGATGAGGTAAATGTCAGCTTGTTAAATATATTTCAAAATCTCAGCGTGAACTCGAGACGGTACGCAGGCGGTGATGAGTCAGAAATGAATTACTCAAACGAAGTTGCAAATCAAAAACCACGAGCCTGGTGGTGTTTGCATAAGGTGCGTCTTTCTGGGTACAGGGAACTGAAAATCGCGGGACGTCGTTGACATTTTTGTCTGATGATAACCAGCTTTGGTTTTCAGAAATAAGGTTGTATTCTGAAAGTGGATTTTTTTTTTAAATAATGAAAATTGGTCAATGGCAAATAGGGGTATTTGATATGATAAAAAGGAAAATCTTGTACAAATCTAGTTTAAAACATGTGCCAAGTGCTTAGAAATTTTTTTTATGCCTATTTTTTTTTTTATCCATACTGTTTTTGGGAAAACGTGGTGGTAATCACCAAGTAGAATGTTCTAAAATACTTTACCCAGACCTTAATTTCACCCAAGTGGTGTACACCACTTACTATAAACACAATTTTCATGCACATTTTTTTTAAGAAGCTAAATATTTTTGCAAACATCGGGGATTACAAAAGTCATAAATACCAAGAAGTTTTCTTATTGTTAATCCATTTGAACTTAACAAAACCTTTTCATAAAAAGGTTTGGACTTAATGACCTTGACAGTCGTTAGGGTCTAAAGGGTCCTCTCTGTTATATGATGTTTTTGATACATGATAGATTTACTGTATTATGGTTACAACACACTGATGGTTCTTTTGTATCCTTAAAATAAAAGCAACAACATTTTGTCTTTATTTTTATTCAAGAATTTGCTTCTTCAAAAAACTTTTCTAGTTTAATCATTGGCATAGTTCCTGTGTTTTGAAGTTAATATCTGTGTTATTTGCATTACTACTTAATGTCATTTTTACTAATAGATGATATAAAAAAATGATAAGTGGTATAACATTGACCCATATACATGATTTTAAAAGCACCACATAATTCACTTTTAGCTTATAATATTTGTAATAAAATGTTTAAGGTGAAATGCCAACACTCTCATTGCAATTTATAAATGTTTTACATATTGGTGAATTGGTGGCTAAGTCATATCTTAAAATTCACATCTTATTTGTATATTTGTATGTTTTTGTACAAATTCAACTGAAACCACCACCCTGTAAAATAGTTGTTTTCTCAGGATTGGGTTGGAAATGTTTGTAATTATTCTCACTGGATGATTTTTTTTTTTTCTAGGATGTATCCAAGTTCTTGGAATTAGGTATTTGGAATTTAGACGGTTCTAAAAAATTAGAGTCTGGTTATTTGAGATTAAAAATAGATGTTGATATAGCATTATAGGCTTTTGAGTTCAGTGTATTCGATTCGGGGTGCTTTAAAGCAGTGCATAGATACTTTCTAAAGTGATAGAAAACTAAAAAGTATTGAGTAAGAAAAGATTCTCCTAATGCATCAGGTGTTAAAAATCCTATTGGTTGTAACTGAAACTTATTCTTCAGCGTGTCAGTGAATAGTGTTGTCTGGCCTCTCATGTATCAGTTGGTCCTCATTTGAGAGTTTCCTAGAATAGTTGCTCTGCTTAAAGCACTTAAGGGGGTTCATCCTAAAAACCAGTCAGACTAGTTACCGGACTGTTTGGACAGACCTATCAGGTGTGTGGTATTTAAAGGTCAGCTAACATATGGATTTGATAGTAATCTGAATATAAATCACTCAGTGGCCTTGTGTATTTTAACCATTGCTGATACCTCAATCCAGCACATTTTCTTTAGAAATGTACCATTAATTATTTGCATGTTGAAATGGTGGGTTTATTGCAGGTCCTCAGAGGAAGTCCCTCACATCCTGTTACAGTGGGCACAACCCTAACACATGATGATAAATCGCTTCAGCCTCCCCGGGGATGGAGGGAGCGGAGTAGTGCATACTGTGCAGCATTTCATTACTCTTTTGCATGTGTTGTCTATTGATTCTTAGTGCTGTCTTTACCAGCATGTGTGGATGTTTTTTTTTAGCCAATAAGGTGGCTACTGTTTGGAAAGCTGTCATATGGATTGTTTGGTATACTTAAAATACTCCCAATATCGTATCACCCAAGGCATTCAAACCTTCCCCTTGTCGGCTTCATGAAAATAAGTATACCCGGTTAAAAGGGCAGTGTCGATTAGATTAGACTGCCCTCTTTTAACATGTTAATGCGTGTACAACATTCATTACCTTCCTATGCAAAATTAATGTGACAAAGAGACTCCTTTTGTCAAGTGACTGGCAGACTGAAGCCAGACTTCTCAGCCATTACTGTTAGTGGTTTAATACGAGTAAAAAGATATTAATCTAATTTTACAGAACTTCACTGGTCAAAGTCTGTTTATTACTATGACAGTTGAACTCTTGTTTCACATGCTACACTGCGTGACTTCACTGAAGTGTCCTTTCATGGAGCTAGCATGTAATTTGTTTAGCATTTGCATGCAGGTGCTGCTGTCTGGACACTGCGTTGTCTGCTCAACAGTCGGTTTTGCTTTCTATGTTTTGCAGGATCAGTGGATTAGGAGTGTTGGTTGGTTGATTGTTGTGTTGTCTTTGAATTAGCAGGCCTCACTAGACTAGAATGAACTTTTGCTTTAGGCCTTTAAACTGCTGCATGTTTTGACTAGTTAATTTTACTTTATCTATACTCACCAGTTTGTAGTTTGAGCAAGTGTAATCTGCATTGATCTTCTCTTTGAAGTCTTTATTAAAACTAAAAATGAACTAGAAAGTTTCCTTCTATTTGAGTGTAAAGTATGTAGCATTACTAATGAAGTTATAATAGGTGCCTGACAAGTTGCGATTCCCATTAAGACCAGGGGTGTCAAACATACGGCCCGCGGGCCGAACACGGCCCTCAAAAACACACTCTGCAAAATATGATAATTATCACTATCAAAAAAAAGACATTTTGTGTCAATTGCACACCCCTAAAATAACCAAGCATCATCTTTAAAAAAAAAGTTGTCCTAGATTTTTTTTATTTTTTATTATATTGTAGTTTGTATGGTTAATATTAATGTAATTGTGAGCAAACTAGGACATTTTCTCCGATCCGGCCCTCAACCTTAAATGAGTTTGACACCCCTGCATTAAGACGGAATAAAGCAGTGCTGTTATCATTGTGTTATTGTAAAATTCAAATGAGTTGTCAATGAGTAGACCTGTGCTTTTGAAAAGCTGGACAGACAGTCTATCACACAGTCTATCTCTGTGTGACATCAGCATACACTTTCATGTAAACTGTAGTTGTAACAATGGCCTCCAGTGAGGATATGTACAATCTAGATTCCTGTAATGCTTCATAGACAGTATCATCCATTGTAGATACGAGACCAGGTCTCTGTACCCATTTGAAATCTAGCTAAACACTTAATTCCAGTTATGACAGTATTGAATTATTCAGTGATATGGTATGTGATATGGTAAGGTGAATTTTGTAAAGCCCAGCAGGAACATCAAAATTAAAAGGAAGTGAAGCATTTTATATCTTGCTTATAAAAAAATTCAGCCTATTTGAATGTGTATTAAAGACCTAGAACTGCAGATTTGTGGCACTGAAAGTAGCTAATATTAAAATGAGAAAGAAGTAAATCGTTTTATATTTTGCATATAAAAAAAATTATAAAAATATAAAAACTTATTTTAATGTCTGTTAAAGGCTTATAACTGGAGTTTTGTGGCACTGAAAGTAGCTAATATAGAAAAAAAAAATCTATTTATTCTGGGAAAATCACCAAAAATATTTCATGACTCATTCTGCACTACACAAATTTTTGTCTAGTCATATCTTAGAAATATCCCACCCACACCAGCAGCTACTAGCATTATGGTTCATGACTAAGACATAACAAAAACCTATCGGCGATCGATAGATAGATAGATAGATAGATAGATAGACAGACAGACAGACAGACAGACAGACAGATAGATAGATAGATAGATAGATAGACACACAGATAGATAGATAGATAGATAGATACATACATACATACATACATACATACATACATACATAGATAGCTAGATAGGCCACAATATTTCAATGTGTCCGAATTCATGTTTCCAGTGCAGACTTCCTGTTTCAGTTTGTCAGCAATGGGAAAAATATAATATGGGGTTATTAAGAATTTGTATTACCATATTTCAAATATTTGATTTATTGTTTGAACAGTATTTATGCATAAAGTTAGTATTTGCTGCACTGACTTTATGCTAGTTTAATAAAATTGTGTCCGGACACAGTGATTATTACCAGAATTACCAGTGGTGGACAGTAATTTTAATCAGTGAATATATTTAATTAAATATTACCACATTTTTCCCAGTGTTTTTATATTTTCAACCTAGCACACAAGTACACATTTTGTTTTTCTTAATTTCTAAATACTATATGGTACACTTTTTCACTTTTTTTGCACTCTTGAATTATCAGTAACTTAAATTGATACTTTAGTATATTTAAGTTTAATGTTTTGAGAATAAATCAAGTACTTCTGTACTTTTACTCAAGTAAAACTGAAAATGATCACTTATATTTTCAGTGGAATACTGTTTTGTTAGGGTATGACTAATACAAAGCTCAAAAGTAAAAGATGCATTACTGTAATGAGAATTTGAAAAAATACCTTACGTAAACTCTTTTTGGGATATATTGACTTATATTGTCCCTACAAAGCATTGATTCATAAATCATTCAACACGGTCTTCCTTGTACATGTCTTTGCCATTTTCATCTCACTTTAATTTAGAAGTAATTTACCTGCTTGTCATATGTTGCAATACTTGTCACCCTGAAAGCAGAGGCTGATCCCACTCAGGGTCATTATAAGGAATATAATTTATCAGTATTGTAACGTGTCCTTCAAGTATGTACTTGCTGTTGTCAGCTGAATGGAATGTATTCAAACACAACACAATTTCAGTCGCGCCTCTATTGAAACCCGTTTAGATGATTATGTTGTAACTTCAGACTTCAGTCTGTGTATTTTGAACGAACACGTTTTATCATATAGATGTTAGATGGGATTGTTACCTTTACTTGATGAAAAAATTGCAGAAACATGCCATTTATTTGGCTACCACAGTAGGATAGTTCTCCCAGAAATGTTGTTAATGTCTTCCCAAACCTGTAGACTATGTCTTCTGTGGAACACAAGAGAAGTTATTTTAAAAAATGTCTCTTTTTTTTTGTTTTTTGTTTTTTTGCATACAGTGAAAGTAAACAGGGTCCAGTGTTGTTTTGGACCACATTGACCATCATTGTATGGACGAAAACATCTGAAACTGAAAATTTTAGAAATAAATAAATAAGGTCATACAGGTTTGAAATGAGAGTAAGTAAATGATGACAGAAATGTACTTTTTTTTAGGAAACTTTCTCTTTAACAGGTGTCATGTTAAGTATGTTAAAAACAAAGTTGACCCAATTGAGAATTTCACTGGCGCGATCGACACTCTTCATTGACAGGGCGTAAACAGTGAAGTTTTGAAAGCATCCTTTACCTCAGAAATGTTAATGATTACCTATGGAAAAATGTTGATGAGTCTTATTTTGCTGTTGTGAATGGATTTATGCAGTAATCTTTAAGCTAGCTGGTTAGTCAGTCGTTGTAATGAATGATTTGATGATTCTCTTCACCTCATCAACAAACATGTTCATGTGGTGTTAAACCTGGCTGCTTCAGCATTTTGACCTGTTAAACTGTGTTAATCTTTCAAAGCCCCAACCCACTGTATACATCACGTTTGTTCTTTTTTTTGACTCACATTAATGCCTGCTTAATCTTTAGGCGCCACTCTTTCATTCATTCATTCATTGTAATTAGAGCAGATTGCCCTGCTAAGACCCCATAATTGCACCTGGTTGCCAAAGAAACAGGCCTCTCCGTCTCTTTATCCAACTAAAAATGGAGATTTGTTCCACAATCTCACTTTATTTCCAGAAGTGTTGTAGTAGATTACTATAATCCTTTATATTGGCTGACAAGAATGTTTTGATCAGCTCAGTTGACTTCCTGCTTGTCTCAAGAATGCGATTCTGCAAAGGTCGGCCTGTCGCAATCCTGTCTGTGGGTGTGCCTCGTATCGAAGGTGAAACATTTGCCAGTTGAAGGAGGTTTTTTCTCATTCGATGTGGGCGGGTACATCACGGCGTAGCTGCTGAAGACGTCCTGTGTCTCTAAAAACATGTGATGTGTAAGAGGAAGCATGATGTCAGTCGCAGCCTTGGTAACGCAGTGTAGGTGTCTGTGAATCCGCCCACAGATATGGCAAAGATCCGCCTCCCAGGCTGCCAGGGCAAAGCAAAGCTGGCCGTCTAGTAGCCAACAGCCCTGTCCTTCCCCCCTCGTGTCCCTACGAAAGCTCCCTCTTAATCCCGGGCCTTTTGATAGGCTCCGGTAACCAGGGCAACAGTCTCATTTGCATGTCAGCTGATGTGTGTCCAAAGTGCCCGCAGTGCACAAAAGGGGGAGTAAACAAGTCGTCTTTGTTGGAGTGGCTGCTCCACCACAGGTCGTTATAATGAGCTGACATGGACTGATATTTTCTCTTACGTCTCTCATCAAATTGTGTCCAAAGGTTGTCCTTACCTAGAAGATGTGCGTGTTTGTACATGTTTACAATCAAGTTATCATGAAACAAATTGAACACTTTAGTCTTTCTTGACTCGTTATATAATACTACTAGTTTTCACCAAGTGTTGACTGGCCCAACTCATCAGCTGTGAACCTTAAATCTGGGGTCTCAGGTTGCCAGGTCTCATGTTTCCTTGCTGCTGCCAGGAAGTCACGGTGAAAGACATGATGCCAGATTTCTAGATGACTGACACCAGGGTGACTCCATCTGTCTGTGTGAATGTCTGCATTTGGAGGTCAACAAAACACTGTTATTGGATTGGCAGCATCATGGAAAGGCCTAAGTTCTTCTTGCATTTTTGTATTAGTATTAAATTGTGTATATGCCAGTATTTTTTAATGATACAACACTGGATGGAAACTTTTTTTTATATTTTATTTTATTTGACTTTAGATTTTATTTTATTTTATTTTGCATAATAGATGGTTAACACTATTATTTTAAATGCATCTTTTCCTTTAATCTGCACTTCTTTCACATTTTCTGCATTGATTAAGGGGGAAATTCTGTGAAATGAGAATGTTGTGAAATGTGTTAAGTGATAAACTTGTTGCTGAAAAATTAACACATTTTTTAAATCAGATTTTTTTTTTTATAAACAAACTGTAATACCTAGTGAAATGTATATATAGGGTGTACAGGATTCCAATTTTATCGTAATTTGGAAACAATCCAAAGCAATCGTTGTTGGATCATAAATGAAAATAAAAAAGGATCCTACTGGATTAATTGAAACTCTTACAGGACAAATTATTATTATATTAATTAATGTTTAATTCATTGTGTCCTTTTTGATATGTTGTTATCTTTAAGAGAAACACTGTGTTGTACTGGAATAATGTTTTTCAACTGGACAGTTGTAGGACATAATTTTGGGAGCTGAAGAAGTTGTACAGTTCTGATAGATTTTCTTTTAATTCCTTTTGATTAAATACAGGGAAATTGTATTGGTAATCATATTTTTCTTTTTGCACTCTGTGTTCTGAAAGGTAATATTTTTGTTGGACAATGGCCTTAAAGGGACATGAGCAAAAAAAAAAAAAAGAGAGAGAGAGAGAGATGGGAGAAAAATTAATTTTTGCGAATGAATTAATATGTTCCCGTGAGAAACTTTGTCTTTTCTCACAGAAGTTTTGTATTCTCTCTTATAAATAATTTTGAGGTTGGAGGAAAAACTGTATTGCAATGCTTTTGTGAGTAAAAGCAAAGTTTCAGAGGAATGCAACACTTTAGTGAGAAAATGCAGACGTTTTGCAGTTTCTCTGAATAGGTTTTCAAGAGAACACATGTTTTTCAGTGAATGCAAAGTTTGGTTACACTTGATTTCGATAGTCCATTTTAGACATTCTACAGTACTAAGTATAAATAGCTTTGCAAGTACATGGCAACTAAAGCAGTATCAGCAGACTGTTAGGTTATAATAGAATAAGTTGACGTATTTGCAGAGTTACTTCTAGTCAGTAGAGTGTGTGTTTGGGACCATCACAATAAAGTGTTAGCAGATATTAAGCAGACAGTCCGGTAATACTCTAAAGAGTGATAGTTGGGATGTAATTGCAAAGTTACTTTTATTTAGTAAAACGTCTATCAAAATAAAGTGTTACCCAAAGTTTTTCTGGGGAATGCAAAATTGCAAGCGAAAGTAATAATATAATAAAATAATATTTTAATGCTGTCACGTTCTCAAGCAAAATGTTTGCATTCCCTGAGTATTCTGTTCGCTCACAAAAATGTTATGATGACTTCCATCATAACATTTTTGAGGTAGGAGGAAGGAAAAACTATATTTCAGTGCCTTTGCAAGTGAACACAAAGCTTTAATACTTCAGTGCAGATTTCCACTTCTGATTTATCTTTTAAAAATGTTACAGTATGTTCGGTGAAGTTACAGTATGTTTGGTGAAGTTACAGGGGTCATGAAATGCATTTTTGAAATTATTTTCTAATGTTTCCTGAGGTGCGCTTATAATGTTTTGTTCTCATTAAAAACAAAAACGATCAAAGAACATATGTACATGAGCACACAATCACAGGTTATGATGTGACGGTCATGAAATGCGTTTTCCAATTTTTATATTATATAAATAAAGTTTTTTATTTCTTTACCTAACAGCAGTATTGCTCTTGTGATTAATGGACAGATATGAGTTGTTGAAAACACACCTCTATGATTACATACATCAATGACGCACATTAATGGGCATGTTGAGAAAAATTGTGAGTCGTTTTCACTGATCCGTGTGAACTAGGATCAGTGTTGTCATCTGTGCATAAAACTTTTCAAAAACTCGGAAAAAACTTTTTTTTTAACAATTTCTACTACGTTGTTGTCATGTAAGCATACCTTTAAACTGGGAGTTACTTTTGAGTTTTGAAACTTTCAGTATGCTTTTATTCTAGAGTAACATTTTATACATGTAAATATCAGGAACATTTTGATTCTTCATTTCATGATCCTTTAAACAGCAAATTAACATTTTATATTTCTGGCTGTGGGATCAGCTACTAAACTAAATTTAGTACATTTGCATAAATCCTCAATGTTCTCATTGTTTTCTGACTTTAAAACTCGCCATCTCATTATAGTTGAAACTCTCCTCTCGATGTATTACAACAGATCCTATTTTGCACACTCAACACCCACAAAATTGATATGGAAAAGCTGCTGGGAGGGCAGATAGGACTGGAGGACTTCATCTTCGCTCACATAAAAGGGCTCAAAAAGGAGGTGGAGGTGTACAAAGCTGAGGAGGCACTTGGGCTCACCATCACAGACAATGGAGCTGGATACGCCTTCATAAAGGTAGACTCACAATGACGCTTTTGTTAGATCAGGGTGTTATTTTGGGATGCCACCCCTTTAGCAGTGTAATTAGTTTTCCGAGTGCAGAGCTCATAGCTTGTAGTACTAGCACTGCCCATGTACAGACAATGATTTGCATGTTTTTGAAAGTAAACAAATTTAGTGCTTGAAGAGTATTTTATGATTTTCTGTAAATTGTAAAATATCCCTGTGCACAAATAAAAGTGGTATTTAATCTCTTTTTAGCCAGGCTTTGATTGAGAAAAGTTAATAATTTAATTAAGATCGCCACCCTGTGTTTGTAAGATCACATGCTGTAGTACTCTGAACGCTGGATTTGTATCTTCAAAGCAAAGTGTTAGTTGAGTTTAAGACCCATTTTTTGAATTCTTTATACATATTATTTTAAGCCTAGTTAGTGGTTAAATTAAAAGTATGCCAAAAATGCATTTGTTCAATTGCTACTTTAACATGTTAACAAAAGTTATTATTAAATATGAAGCGTATCTGTTTTTCCATTTGGCAGCGTATCAAAGAGGGCAGTGTGGTGGATAGGGTAAAGGTGATCTGTGTGGGAGATCATGTCGAATGCATTAATGGAAAGAACATCGTTGGAATGCGGCATTTTGAGGTGGCGCGAATGCTGAAGGAGCTGCCCAAGGATCAGTCTTTCACCATCAAACTCGTGGAGTCTATGAAAGCCTTCGGTTTGTCATTCATTCTTGTTGAAGTACTAATTTTGTCTTGATATTTTTTGGTTTTGAACATTGTATATGACTGGTGTATGCAAAAAAAATAAAAAATCTAGACAGTAGAGTGCAACAGTAGTTTCTGAACTAAAATATCCCATTTATATTCTCAATACAGAAATTTATTTTTAACATTAAAGTATACATCTTATACTACAGACTGCTCTTTACTTTACTTTACTTTACTTTTAGTCATTTAGCAGACGCTTTTATCCAAAGCGACTTACAAATAAGAAAAAGTAATTAAAACTAAAAGCTAAAACTCTATAAATACTATATATATACACACATTTAAGAAAATAAAAGAAATTAAATAAAAATGACAAATGCATACAACAACATTTCAAAACTAAACTTTTAAATGAAAACAAAAAAAATAAAGCTAAAAACAATTCAAAATATTAAAAGAACAAAAGGTATGAGTATAATAATGATTCTAACATAACACTAAGCCAAACAACAAAAAACAACTACATATGTGTATGTACAGCCACACACATATACATATACATGTACATATATATAAATACATTCAATATATATATATATTATTTCATTTTAATTTTGTATTTTGAAGTACTGAAATAACTCAAATTAAGTAAAACCAAAACTTAATAACAAACCTATATAGACATAATACCAAACACACATGCTAAAATAACAACAACTTACTGACACATAGTAAGAAATGGTTATAAAAAAATACATTAAAAAAAACTGCCCTGCCCGGTGGAGTCACACGGTAGAGTCGATGGTCTTTACACTCTTCGGTGTTCACACGACCGCAGCTGCGACCGCTTCCGCGGTAAACTAAGCTTCTTTTTTATTCGTTTAACAAAACTCAAATTGAATTCAGCTGGACACACTTTCCTGTTTATCACAACAAATGACCAAGCAAAGCGCACGACACTGACAAGGTACGCGATACAGTACGAGACCAAATGCGATTTCAGCATGTCTCCACACAGTAAACAAAACAAGTGTTTCCTTGGTGCTCTTGAGCTCTAAGGTTGATAAGTGATGGTATTTGCTTCTGAAGAAGCCAAAAGTCAATGATTTTAAAGAACAATGTTTAAAGGGGTCATATGATGCGATTTCAATTTTTCCTTTCTCTTTGGAGTGTTACAAGCTGTTTGTATATAGATAAGATCCCTAAAGTTGCAAAGACTAAAGTCTCAAACCCAAAGAGATATTCTTTATGAAAGTTAAGACT